CTTATACAAACAACAACCCAGTGGAATCCCACATGTGGACGCAGGCCTTACCCCTATCCTGGGAAGTTAGAGTGGCAGTTTCCGATGATGAATTGTCTTATACATTCACTATATTTGCATTCCCTAACATCTGCTTATGTTTTATGTATTTTCTCTAAATGCAATTCATAACCTGACTATATGACCAACAATAACGAGGAACTTTTGAGAAACTTTTGTCGTTGTAAGCTAAGAAAAATTGCTTTAGATTGTCAGACATCTCGTATAGATGCTTATGAAGAGTAGAAATGTGTTTTCATGAACAGGTCTTTTTTTTCTTAAGAGATGTTCTGGACATTCTATTTTGATGATTGAGCTTTATATACTGTGAATTTGATAAGTGATATTTAAAGTGAAAATACATAACCAAAGAAACAACAGTTTACAGCAGGGAAAACATAGGAGGTATGAGATCGAGGAAATAGTTTTCTGTGTCTCACTTGGATAAAAGTGTAGTTAAATAGTGTTGGGCTTCATTTCAAGCCTCTACTACAACTATTCACTGGTTGTTACCATTCTTTGGTGTTAATACAAATTCAGCCGAACTTGTTTTTTCGTTATAAATTTCCTCATCAGCCTTTCCTCCTCCCTTGTCATTTATTTTTCATTTGAGAAGACGCTTGAGCATTTGATGTTTATTTTCCTCTGTAGATGGTTCAGTATTTCTCAGATCAGCTCTTATTGGTTTAACACAAAATAGTCTATGTGCATCTTATTTTAACAATAACTGTGTTCTGCAATATTCATCTTCTGGTTTATATTATATTTTGCAGGTGAAGCTGTTTATGTAGATGACATTCCATCACCACCGAACTGCCTGCACGGAGCGTTTATCTACAGCACAAAACCATTAGCAGGTGTAAAAGGAATCCAGCTTGAGTCTAATTCATTAACAGATGGATTCACCGACATTATTACTTTCAAAGATATCCCAAGTGGAGGGTCAAATGTAGGATCTATTACAATGTTTGGTCCTGAGCCTTTATTCGCAGATGATCTTGCCCGATGTGCTGGCGACAGAATTGCAGTTGCGGTATGAAACATTAATTTCTCATATAATTTTGATCCATAAATTTTTTTTTTAACTATTTCTTTTTGTTGTTCAACATTGCGATCTAATGACATAGGTTGCTGACACTCAGAGGTCTGCTGATGTGGCTGCCGCAACAGCCCTTGTTGAATATGACACTGTAAATGTAAATTCACCCATTTTAACTGTCGAGGAAGCTGTTGAGAAATCTAGTTTTTTCCATATCCCGCCATTTCTATATCCAAAACAGGTTGGTGATTTCTCAAAAGGAATGGCTGAAGCTGATCACAAGATTCTCTCTGCTGAGGTACTCTTGATTTCTCTATAGTTCCATAGCATGTCTAACTGTACTAGATGTACGCTAAAGGTTCAAATTTTCTATTGATTGGCTCTTCTTCTAATAATCATTTCCAGGTAAGACTTGGTTCCGAGTACTATTTTTATATGGAGACACAGACTGCCCTTGCAATTCCAGATGAAGACAACTGTATGGTTGTTTATACATCAAGCCAGTGCCCCGAGTATGCGCAAAATGTGATTGCCAGTTGTCTTGGTGTTCCTGAACACAATATCCGTGTAATTACAAGAAGGGTTGGAGGTGGCTTTGGGGGCAAGGCAGTCAGAGCAATGCCCGTGAGTATATGGAAAAATTCGTAATAATAATAAAAAAGTAGTAATAATAATGCCTGTAGATGTTTCTTTCTTGGTCTGTTCGGGAAAAAATTTCCGACTCTGATGCCGAAGTTTATGTATGATTTTTAGGTTTCGACAGCCTGTGCACTTGCAGCATACAAGTTAAGGCGGCCTGTGAGGATATATGTCAACCGGAACAGCGACATGATAATGACAGGAGGAAGACACCCAATGAAAGTAACATACAGTGTAGGATTCAAGTCAAGCGGAAAGATCACAGCATTACATCTTGATATATTGATAAATGCTGGGATTTCCGAAGATATAAGCCCCCTCCTACCATCAAATGTGATTAAAGCAATAAAGAAATATGATTGGGGTGCCTTATCTTTTGATGTAAAAGTATGCAAGACAAATCTTACCAGCAAATCAGCTATGCGGGCCCCTGGGGAGGTGCAAGGATCTTATATTGCCGAAGCTGTTATAGAGCATGTAGCGAGTTTACTGTCAAAGGAGGTGGATTCTGTCAGAAATAAAAATGTTCATACATTTGAAAGCATTAACTTATTCTATGATAACATCGTAACTGAAGTAGGAGAATATACGTTGCCTAGTATCATGGATAAGTTGGCCGTGTCCTCGAGCTTTTTCCAACGTAGCAAGATGGTGGAACAGTTTAACCAGAAAAACACATGGAAGAAAAAGGGTATTTCTCGACTGCCAATAATGTTTGAAGCTATGCAACGACCGACCCCAGGAAAAGTCAGTATCCTGTCGGATGGATCAATTGTTGTAGAGGTTGGAGGGATTGAAATCGGCCAAGGGCTATGGACAAAGGTTAGACAGATGACTGCATATGCTCTTGGTTTAATCGAAAATAGTTGGAGTGAAGAACTTGTAGAGAAAGTACGAGTCATACAAGCGGACAGCTTAAGCTTAGTGCAAGGCGGGTATACGGCTGGAAGCACTACATCGGAATCAAGCTGTGAAGCAGTTAGACTTTGCTGTAATGTCTTGGTTGAAAGACTGACTCCTCTGAAGAAACAGTTGCAGGAACAAAATGGCTCTCTTGATTGGCCAACGCTCATTCGCCAGGTTTGTTTTCCCGCTATATGACCACCACCTCCTTTTATTCTCGTAAGTTCTAATTATCCACTAGGTCACTCTTTCTCGTGCGTTAAATATCTGAGTTAGAAGTTCTCTCCCACCCACCTCCCTTCTTTTTGCAGGCACAAATGCAAGCAGTAAACTTGGCAGCAAATTCTTATTATGTACCAGAATCCAGTTCCATGAGTTATTTGAACTTTGGTGCCGCTGTCAGCGAGGTAAACTTGTGTTTTCTGTTGCTTTTTCTGGTTTGACCATCCATGTCTTTGGTAGCATTCTCTGCTTCAGTCTGCTTCAATGATTATCGATTTTCAGCGTGTTTGAGTGCACAACACTTGGCAGGAAACTCTGATTGTGGATAACTTTGCGGCCAATTATTCTTCTGCAAAACATTCTTATGGATAAGTAATAGAAAAAGCTCTTTTTGCAGGTGGAGATCGATATTCTGACTGGAGAGACTACCATTTTGCGGTCGGATATTATTTACGACTGTGGGCAGAGCTTGAATCCAGCTGTCGATATGGGACAGGTTCATAACAGTCTTGCCTTTGTTTATATTTTAGATTTTGTAGTTGGAATCTTTGTTTAATTGAGAGGTGCATCATGCATTTGAGCTTTTACTCAAACTCGTGAATAATCTATTCGTGATCGTTAAAAAAGGGCAGCCCGGGCACTAAGCTCCCGCTATTCTTGATCTTAAAATGTTCTAAATAGCGGCAACTTTTTATTTCTTTTCCTTGCAGATTGAAGGAGCTTATGTACAAGGTATTGGATTTTTTATGCATGAAGAATATCTTACAAACGACGATGGGTTGATGGTCTCAAATAGCACTTGGACATACAAGATACCAACAATCTACACCATACCCCAGAATTTCAACGTTCATTTGGTAAACAGTGGACATCACGAAAAACGCATTCTCTCTTCCAAAGGTATTATTTCTTTCTTCATTTCTTTTCCCTTCCCTTCTGTCAAGCAAGTTTACCAAGTTCTTCGCTCGTTCATTTATATCTGCGAACATCATGAAAATATTTCTACTGATTCTTCACTTGGTTGAGAGGAATATGTTGCAAACTCATTTTAAGATAGTATATCATATATGTATATTCATTAGTACAAATTGTTGAACCTAATATGATTAATTACTTTTTTGCAGCATCCGGTGAACCGCCACTGCTACTTGCAGCTTCAGTCCATTGTGCAACAAGAGCGGCCGTTAAAGCAGCAAGAGAACAACTCAAAGTTTGGGGCAAGCTCGACGAGTCTGCTTCAGAATTCTATCTGGATGTTCCTGCCATATTACCTGTTGTGAAGACGCAGTGTGGTCTAGATTATGTAGAGAAATACTTAGAAAGTTTACTGACTCAGAAATCTAACTAAATTGCGGAATATCACACAGTTGGAGACATTTTCTGTGGCCTGGATCACAAGGACAAGTGCTCATTATGTCTCAAATGATACTGAATACTTGTTTTTTCTTCAAATCTTCTTAAGAATTTGAACTGTTCTGTTTCTAGCAAGTGGGTGATTAAAGTTTCTTTTGTTATTCTGTCTATAGCAACCTTAGTGTAAATTCAGTTTGTATAGCAGTAAAAATAATATTGTGTATTCAACTGTTATAGTTGAAGAATAGAGAAATAAAGAGTTCTGTATTTGGGTCAAGTCGAATTTTTTACTGGAAACTTGTGATATCCTATTATTCAATTTTATTATGGATTTCATATCTCGCCTCATTGTTTATTTTGGTTATTTAGACCAAACTTATGACAAAGAGTTCTCTCTTCTCAGTAAAAGATTTCAAATTCGAGTCTTAGAAAAATTCAGAGGCGGAAGTAGAGTGTTGGGCATGGGTTCGGCTAAACCCAATAGCTTTTGCTTAGATCCTGTATTTGTATAAGGAAATCCATCAAACAAGTATAAATATCTAATTGCGAACCCAGTAACTAAGACGAGCTATTGGTTTGGTGGCCAGTTCAGAACTCATAATTAAATTTCAAATCCTAGTTCCGCCTTTGTTGAAAATGGAGTAATCTTTGGTAGGGCGCGGTTTATTCTAAAGTGAGACTGTTCCCCAAGAATCCAGATTAGTCGGATCCAAAAGTAGTACCAAACAACGATAGAAAACCAAAAAAAAATTAAGTGGTGTCGTACCTTATTGAAATTTTAAAACTACTAGTCAACATTTTAAAAGTAAAATATTATAGTTCATAGCAATAAGGATATAGCATCATAAATCTTTGATACATACCGTTTCGAAAGCACTTCATCACTACTTATAACTCATAATACGATAATTAACTAAAGAATAACACATAATTTTAGTCTGAGGAGAGATCTTTGACTTGATCTTAAGCTTTGTTGGAAAGTTTCTCAAGAAGGCTGCGTAATATTTCAGGGGTTAATGGCTTCTCGTAGCAATCATCAAGACCAGCTTCCATAAATTCCTTGCGAACTTCTTCCTTGTCATTCACATTAGTCATTCCAACAATCATAGTTGTAATTCCCATTTCTCGAAGCTTTTTTGTTGCCTATATATAAATGGAAAAAATCGGTTAAATTGTTTTAAAATGGAAACATGTTCCGCACATATATAAAAGGGTAAAACCTTATAATTTGCATCGTTTTTTTTTTTTTTTTTGGAAAGTATTTGACTGAGGAGGGTGCTGGTGAGGGGAATCGATCTCAGGTCTCCCATATGGGAAACCACTTAGTCAACCAACTCAGCCAACCATCGCAGGCTCGCATATTACGAAAGTAATTTTACAATTTCAGAAAGCTTACCTGGATACCATCCATAAGCGGCAGTACAGAATTCATTAAGATTAAATCGAAACGCATTTGTGTAATATCATGAATAGTAACTGCTACGTTTCCATTTCTCACTCCCAAAGTTTCCACTCCACACTTCTGAAGAAATAATATGTACGTTGTTTGAGACATATCATCATCATCAACTATGAGTACTTTGAGTTGTTTCCCAACTTTGAAGTCATTATCAGGTCCAACTCTTTTCTTACTCTTTGAAGAAGAAGCACTCGCGCTCGAAGACATTTTCCTGCCAAAAAAAGTAGAAAAATCAACCTAAATAGCCGTCTATACAACCGTTTAAATTCATCAGGAGTAAATATTTTTGACACTGTTTAAATCAATTTTTCATTGCCAGGAGTGAGAAATGGAAACGGTGTCTATACAACCGTTTAAATTGATCCTAAGTAGTAAGTCTTCTTTCATTCTTAATTAGAGGTTTCGGGTTCGAGTCCAGAGAATGAAGTCGCCTATTAGGAAGGGCAAACCCTTTAATGTAGGACTTTCCGTGTGAATCTAAATTTAGCCGGACTCCAATGTATGCATCGGACATTGGGTGTGAAACCCAAAAAACCACCATATTAGGTAAGAATATCAACCATATTGTTTATACCCTTTTATGAATGTGTTACTAGAGAGTGAAAACAGCCTTGCAAAATTTAGTAGTTCTGTTATGAAGCTTAAATAATGAATATTTCCTAGAAATTCAATTTTTCTTAACAAATGACAAATGGGTTATTTTTAATCTGATTAGGAGATTTCTAACTTATAGAATATAAAGTACAACACAAGGTTCTAATTAAAATTTTCTTACATGTATATCACATATAAAAGGGATCAATAATATGATATAGTTTTGATTTATGTGTAGGAAAAAAACATATAAATGATGTTATTGATAAAAACATAATTCTAACTGTTCACTACCCAAATATGAAATTCTTGAATGAGAGTTTTAGTACATACCTCTCTCGTACTCAGAACAAACACTTGAATGCATGTATATACTTGAAATAATTTGATGCACACTTAAATAGGAGCTATGTGAGAAGTTTCATAAATGAAATATGCCGAATTTGCCATTGGAAAATTGAAAATAGCAACTCAACATAAATGAAATTTGCTGGCGGAAAGCTGGAAGAGCAACACGACATTTAGTAGATGAGATCAGGATTAAAGGTATTATCTTAACGCTTCTTTTCTTTGACTTTTTAGCATAACAATGTCGTGACAAATAAGAACTTTTTGAATATATTGAGTTTTGGCATTTTCAATTATTGTAGCCTTTTTAGGATAAATTTGTAATAACTAAAAATTAAATTTAAGTTGTAGCTCTGCTTCTTTTTCTGAAAAATTACATGTTGAAATGAGAAAATACGAAATAATTTGGAATTTGCAATTTTTGGTATTTGATGGGACTAAACTTTATGGTGTTTGTGGTAACCGGCTTTAATTGAAGCCAGCAGTGAGTCTAATCTATTAAACGAAATTATAACTCATATATACTTCTCAAGAGTAAGGTTCCTGCCCTTGTTGTGTCACAAGCTTTTTCTATTCTATTTCTTCTTCTTATTTAAGAATTAAAATAAAATCTTTCGGTAATGGTCTAATTAACTATCCCTTTGATGGGGGAATTATCATGTCCTGGAATTCCCTTTTTACTGAAGTATGATTCTTTCATGACAACTGGAAGAGAAATGACAGAGAACGTGATTTCAAGCTCATATATTTTTTTAATGAAAATTTGAGGATAAGAAGATGTCATTATCTAATGTATGCCACTTAGGAAAATTTGTAGCATTATATTTGGTGAGGTGAAAAATTTTGAGACAACATCAAGCTGAAATTTATGCATGCAGTAGTAATATAAATTTATATAATTAGATCACTTCTAAAGTTATTACAATTGGTGCTCATTATGATAAGTATATTAAATATTACTAATAATCTAATAAGCATATACTAACTATTGTGTTAGTACATGCATGTTATTAATTACACTTAGTGTTAGTATCTGTATATCTTATATCCTTCATATAATCTACTATGAAAAATTTAGATTGTGTACTCATCTTTCTACTAGCTAGTCTCTGGATACATGCATGTTGCATGTGTATCTCTGAATTAATGATAACTAGTGAAAGGAAATACGACCAAGTCCAACTTTTCCAAGACACAGTTTATGTTCAAATTTCTCATGTTTATTATTCCATGAGATAATCTATGTTAGATAGAAAGCAAGCGTAAGGGTATCCAAGAGAACAACTACATCTCTCTATCGTATATATTCTTCTCCACTTGCACTCAATTTCCTATACTTTATCTTTTTTTCTTTTTGCTTCTTCTTTTGCACCTTGGAGCATTATTGTCCTCTTTTTTGCCTACTGCGCAGTTACGTTGTTTAAATGATCAATTTTTGGACACTGAATCTTTCGAAAATAAAATTAATTGCAAAAGAATGTTCTAACCTACGATCAAATAATGTATGAGTAGTGATACTTTTAAGGCCAAATATAGAGTATAAATCGATAATCAAATGGCGTACATTAATTCCATGGGTTGTTAATGAAACATCCAATATTCATTTTTCTATGTTTTAGTAACTGTCAATACACAAAACATTACAATAAAAATTATATTGGCCAAGTACTTTTTTATTACCCAGTGGGAGAAGGACAGACATACTCTCTAACTCCATTGCTAACTAACCATAATTTCAAGTTGTAGAGTTAAGTTATTGAATTTAATCCATGATTTAGTGGGAGGCCAACAAAGGGAAAAATCAAAGTGTTAATAGGACATGAGTGTTCTCGCTAATTAACCTATCATTTCTACTAAAAGAGTTGATTGTAGGCAATAGTAACTAATTATAGATCTATGGAAGACGATAACTTATTTTAGAAACAAAGAGCAAAGCTTGGGATCAAAGAAGGTGGCAGTAACACAATTTTCTTCCACATAAAATGAAGAAAACTAGATAAAAATGAAAAAGATATACGTAATGAAGTACAAAAAGAAAAAGTACCTCAAAGAGTTTAGAGTATCCATATATAATGCAGCAGGAAAAGGCGACTATTCAGATTTAAATCAATTTTGCAAATCCTTGTTTGATCAAAACTTACTTGATTGGTTGCCATTGCCTTGCCCACATTAGCTTCTTAAATAGTTGTAAAAATTGACTATTGAGATACCAGTTCTAATATGTGTATAAATCTGATTTCTATTGAAATATTCGTATCTTTTCAAAAAAAAAAATTATTTTTAAGAAGTACTTGAAGGAGAATATGAACTTCCTCAATCATAATTGGATTCATTGAATTGAGTGTCTGAAGCATTTAAAGTACTATTCTTTCACTTCTAATTCACCCAGTTCATTGCTAATGTAATTAAAAAATTACTCAATTGAAGGTTTTTTTTATTTTTAGGGACATACTGGTAATTGATGTGTGGCTATAATTTCATAGTTTCGTACATTATTTGTCTTGCATTTTATATGCTTTAATGATATTATTTGCGCGTAATGGAGTCTATTTTGTGTGTAGGTGAATTGAAGATGAAAGTAGAGCAAAAGGGATACTTAAACGTTGAAAGCATGCTCGAGAACAGTGAGAGACCCTGGCGACGCCAGGCTTGAAGCTGGCTTCAGGCTGGCGAGACCAGACAAAGGCCAGGCTTGCAGCTGGCTTTAGGCTGGCGAGGCCAGGCAAAGGCCAGGCTTGAAGCTGGCTTTAGGCTGGCGAGACCAAGATAAGGTCAGGTTCACCAGGCGCTAGGCTGGCGACGCCAGGCCTGGGGCGAGATCCATTCCGTGTTTTGAAGATTTATTTCGTCTCCTGGTTTGACTAAGACTTGACCTACACGTTTAGGTCTTTTCCTACACATATAAATAGACCTAAAACGCAACCTTTAAGGAGACAGTCGCGGGAGATCGAGTTTGGACATAATTTAGACCTAAGGAGGCTAAGGAGACCGGGGATTCGACCTAAGGAGGCAAGAACACACTAGGAGCAAGGCGGAGAATTCTTCTACGAGTTTTTCACTTCCTTCTTCCTATTTCCATTATTGGTTATGAATTCTAATATTGTAGTTCTACATACTATTATGAATATCTAATTTGTTATCTAGGGTTTTGATGGAACCTATTGGAGGATGATTTTCCTGTTACGTTAATATAGGTTTGCCGTAGTATTTTCTTTATTTGTTCAACTACGTTTATATTGTGGTCGGTTGAAGAGCTCTCTATCGACTGTGCCTATTTAGTTTGTATTACTCGGGAGAGAGTGCGTATTTAGGTAGTTGTTGAACAATATCACTCCTAACGTATATATGGGATCAATGCGGAGGGTTTAAGGTGGGATTAGGGATAGAGAAACCTTGGTGCGATCCGAGTGAGCCGTACTTAATGCCAGCTAGCGTAATTCGGGAGAATATATCTAGTAAATTATGGTAGTTACTCGGGAGAGAATTACGACACTCAGAGCGCTCATGATCGGTAGAGAATACTTAGGCGAAATTATAGAAGATGTAGCGGGAAGGATTCCGACAATTGGGAAAATCATAACTCTAGACCTCCTTAATCTTTTCTCTAACCCGTAATATCTTTAGTTGTTAATCTACTAATTTAATTTATTAGTTAATGAGAAACAAGAATCTTAATATTAATAACTTACGAATTGTTCGAGCTTATCTTCTTAGTGATAGTCAACAACTGTAGCTAACCCTTAGTTCTCTGTGGGATTCGACTCCGGACTTGTAAACCGGATTATATTTGCAACGACAGCTTAGTCCTTATTATAAGGCAGAGTTGGGCGTGATCAAATTTTGGTGTCGTTGCCGGGGAACTAACGGTGTAGCTGTAGGTGTACATATTGCTAGGTTGCAAGTTTGAACTTTTTTTATTTGATTTTTTTTTAATTTTTGTTTTACTTGTTAATTTGAGAAACATGGCATCTTGGATTTATTAGAGTTTTGATTTTGGTAATTCTACTATTGATCTTCCTAATGCTTATTGTGGAGGAAACCACCCATGGTAAAACTATCAAAATATTTTCGAGAGGGAGTTATGTGCACCAACTCAAGCTTATGGGTGGAATGTGTGTGATATGTGTGGTGGTCAAGATGGTCTCTTTCATGATTGTGCTTATATTTCTTATCTTCCCCCAACCCCTTACTTTGATGGTTCTTCTTTCTCTTGTGAAGTTAATAGGAACAAAGAACCCAGGGATGATGGCCTGAAAGAGATAAGG